CGGTAATCTCAGATTACTGGCCGGTTACGGTGCTAAACCCATAGGGGCGGGTTTAGGTCGTGACACTGAGCGATGGCCCAAAATGGATATTGGGGATTGTTTGAAAGGAAATGATAGAATATGAATCAATTTGTTTGGTTTGGATTTTCAGAGTTTACTTTTCAGATTTTTTTTTTCATGTTTTTTTGTTTGTACTATTTTTTTTAATATTGTAAGAATTTTTTTTTTAATTTTTAGATACTCCAAACGTAAATACACCTAAAAAAATATAATGTTTGTAAAAAAAATCTTTAGAAAATTAACTAAATACCAAAAATACAAAAAAAAGAAGAAGAGAATTCAATACATTTTTCGTATTCTTGTGTATTTATTAATTCTTAAAATATTTTTGTACAAATATTTTAGGATCCGTTTGGTTTATTTTTAGAATTATGATTTGAGTGTAGAGTTGTATTTTGAGTTTTGAATTTTTGAATTATGATTTGAAAAGAGAAAATTTGTTTGATTATGAGTTTTGAAAATAGTTTTGGAATAATTTGTAATTTTTTTTAATTTTTTTTTGATTGATTGATGTATAGAATGTTAGAGAATGTGAGAGGAGAGATAAGAGAAAAACAGTGGTTGATTGATTGATTGAATAATAATAAAAAAAAAAGAAAAGAAAAGTTGGAATTATTTGTTATTTTTTTTTTTTTTGATTGATTGATGTATAGAATGTTAGAGAATGTGAGAGGAGATAAGAGAAAAACAGTGGTTGATTGATTGATTGAATAATAATAAAAAAAAAAGAAAAGAAAAGAGAAAAGATGAGTTTTGAAAGTAATTTTGAGTTGTATTCTAAAAATATGTTTGGTTAACATGTTTCATCCAAATTATGATTTAAAAACATATGAATTTTGAAAAGTAAACCAAACGCTACCTTAATTTTTAGATACATCTGAGTAAGGTACATTTAAAAAATTAAAAAAATTGCTTAAAATTTTAAAATATTCACTAAAAATAAAAATAAAAAAGAAAAATAAAAAACTCAAATTTCAAAATCCAAAAAATTGAAATTAAACACACTGAATACTATGGATAGCTTCGTAAATTCAAATGGTAAATTCACAATATATATATATATATATATATACTTTGGTTATGACAATTTTTTTTTGTTTAATTATAACTTATGAGATTTTTTGTTATGCTTAATTTGATGTTTAAATATGTATATATATATATATATATATATATTTTGGAGTTATAAATAAAATAACTCCCAAAAAAAAATATGAAGTTATGCCATTTTGTTAAGGTGCATATTTTCCTAAATATTGTATTTGGTTGGAGGATTTGGGAAGAGATTTGGAAAGGGGAAGGAAAAATAGAGGTGAAATATAAATAAAATATACCTATATTTCATCTAATTTCACACATTTCTCTTTTTTCTTTCCAAATCCCTTATCAAATCCTTTAACGAAACGCAATGTAAAACATATTATCCACTGATTATAGGGCGAATTACACTAACAGTCCCTATAGTTTGCGACTCGTATCACTTTAATTCATAACTTTTCAATTGTGGCACATTTGATCTTAAATTTTAAATCTTACTCCAAATGAGGACAATTGAATATACTATTACTCAATTTCAAGAACAAAATCGTCAATTTGATAAAATATAACTAATTTGACAAAAATAATGTCAAAAAAATATTTTTCAATTTTTAAAAATTATTTTTACCCACCAAAGATAAAATTATGTAAAATTAATAAATCTTTTATACATTTATTTATTTATTTATTTTACCAAATTAATTTTTATTATATGTTTGGATGATGATCATTTAATTAGTAATTGTTAGACTTTTAATGTGCAATAATCTGTGCATCAAATCCAAGAACCCGCGTAACCCGTCCAATCCAGACGGACTCGGACTGTTATGGACGAAAGTGCAGATCCTCTCATTGCAAGAGTATACTTGCGTGCGTCCTTGCAACGGCTGAGATCAGCCGTTGCACATCCAACGGTTGAGATTAAAAAAGAAAAAAAAATTTGAAATTTCACTCAAAATCCCGCTCGTTGCTAGGGTTTTTTGACAATGGGTCTCGTTTGTCACCCTTCCGAAATCCCTCCTTGTTGCAAACCAAAAGTCTACAAATAAGTTGGTTAGTGACCTTGTTCTTCCTACAAAAATCTCATCTTATGCTAAACCACATTCTTCCTCCATATGTATTATAAAAATCATACATATATTGTTCAGAATCGAATGTCATTCCCTGTTTTGGCTTTCAAGCACAATCATTCTCAAGTTCCATATCCATATGAAAATACAACTGAAAACTCATATAAATAAAATCTTAGCTACATAAATAAAATAATAAATGATTATAAAGAAATAAGAAATGAGAACTACATATCTTTAATTGATTCCTAAACTAAGACTGAATTGATTTCTAAACATCATCACATTGTAAACTTGATGATACTGTTCGTTCCAGTGAATGGATCAGACTGGTCCAAGCTCCTCAAGCCCACGTCCAAATGATCAAGCCCACCGGATAACTTGCAAACAAGTTCAACGGGGAACTGGGTAGTCCCCCAATGAACCCTCCGACGAGCAAGTTAGGGAGAGAAGTAGAGTGTAGAAAGAGAGATTAGAGATAGAAAAGCTTAACCTTTTTCTTGTCTTCAACGTTTGCTTATATCCTTTGGTAATCATTTCGCTGTCCCTTCCGACCTGCCCTCATCACCGAAAGTCTATGCTGTAGCCTACCTTGTTTAGGGTAAGGGGGTCCTATTCCGACAAAGAGGTGTTGTCGTAATAAATGTTGTGATGGGCTGCATTAATGGTGATGTGCAGTGACAATAACTTTGCAGATCTTTGTCTGCTGATGTGGCTCGTCCTTCACCTGCCGTGTGTCTGAATGTCATTGGCTCTTTATGCCATGTTGGACTCCAGCTGTCCTGGACCTCAGCAGCTGGGCTATGCATTGGGCTCCAAGTGATGGGCTTGGATTGTTCATAGTGATTCGTGGCCTTTATGGGCTTATACACGTCAGTAGTCCCCCATTTCTGAGTGCAGCTTTAGTCCAACGAATGGAATATTAATGAAGTAGATGAGGGTGTTAGGGATTGGCAGGATGGAGGTTGACCGGCACGGGTGACCGAGGAGGTGAACCGACCGGGAGGTGGTCCGACCGTGCAGGGCGACCGAGTGGAAGGGTCGATCACGGGGAGGACCGACCGCAAAGGTTGGCCGAGTGGGACGGTCGACCACGAGGAGGGCCGACCGCGAAGGTTGGCCGAGTGGGAGGGTCGACCACGAAGAGGGCCGACCGCGGAGGTTGGCCGAGTGGGAGGGTCGACCGCGAGGAGGGCCGACCGCGAAGGGTGAGGTGGAGGGGCGTGGGGCTCGAGAGGCGGCGTGTCACGTGGTGATTTGAAGTGGAAAAGACAGGGTAAGGGGAGGAGACAGTGGAGCGTAGTCATGCACGTGGCAACATCCCGCGGGGAGGAGATTAGGCGCTAGATCAGAAATGAAACGATAGGTCATTATGGGTGTTGAAAAGACAGTTTTGGCGGATGATTTGGAAAGTTTTCAAACTAGCAAAAATTAATTGGGATCCTCGGAATACGGGCAAACCGTGGGCTTTTGGCATTATTCAATTCACCTACTTGTTTACGAAAAATCAAAACATTCCAAGTGTGAATTCCTTTGTTGCTCGCGATACACCTCTGCAACACTTTTTCAACTTCCTTGCACCTGCCTCCGAGGCGATTCGCAGGTATACCATAGAAATGGCCCAAGAAGAAACTGCGAATGTCAGGGTGGATCCACTTGGTGATGATGATGCAGTGAAGTTAGCACAACAATATATGATGGAGAGGGTGGGGGAGTCGGTAGTACGATCCCATGGTTCCACTATGATAGCAGCTCTAAAGCCAATCAGCCAGGCAGAACCAGATCACTGGCATACAAAAGCAGATAGATCAACGGTTACTGCAACGGATTTGGAGGCCATTCGCGAAAAATACCTGGTGCCTGCTGAAATAGAGTTGTTGTTGTCGATGTCGACAGAGAGGCCATCCGACGCCAGGCCAGGGGAGTTTACCCTTTATGAGGAAGTATTGAAGGGAGGACTGAGGCTGCCCCTGCCGCAAGTGGTGGTAGATGTCCTGAATCGTTTGGAGGTAGCGCCGGGCCAACTAATGCCCAATGCGTGGAAGATTTTACTGGCCTGTGCAAGTGTGTGGCCGAAGGCGAACGAAGGGGTGGTCATGACAGTAGATGAATTCTTCGCATGTTACAAGGCCTCAGGGCAGCAAGAGACTTGGGTCACTCTGCAGGCAGCAGCAGAGAAAGGGCTGGTGGTGGGGCTGCCATCATCGATCAAGGGGTGGAGACCACGGTGGTTCTATGTATCTGCCAGTGGAGGGGTTGGAGTGCGCACCATTTGGAAAGTGCCCACCAAGTCTGTGGAGCCAAGGCTGGGAGCAGCAGCAGAGGAGAGGGTGAAGAGGGAAAAGGAATGGAGGGAGAAGGAAGGGGCCAAGTGGGATGAACTCGTTCAACCATCGGCTTTGTTTGAGATAGGGTTAGGTCCACAGTCGAGCGGTGGGGACCTCGACCGAACGGAGTTGGAGGCAAGGAGAAAGGCTCAAGAGGTGGAGGATCAGACCATCCTTGCCAGAGCCCAAAAATTCAAAGAGTCTCAGGCAGACCGACCGCCAAAGCCGGTTACAAGGGAGAGGATCCGATCGTGACCCAAACCCTTGGGGTAAAAAAACTTAGGTGAATTTGTGCCACGACAACCCCCAATAGATCCTTTGAAGGAGAGGTCGTTGAAGGAGATGGAGGTGTTGGGTGTAGTGAAAAAGAAGAGCCTGCCCAGAAGAGAAAGAGGGAAGTGAGGGCAGAAGAGACCAGTATGGCGAAGGAGGCAGAGGGGGGGAAGTGAAGGAGACCCCAAGAAGAGTAATTGCCCCAGAAGTGGTGGACATTGCCTCAGAGGGCATGAAAATCGTTGCAGTAGTGGCGACGATCGCCGCGGGGGTCGCGAGGGTCGCCCATAAAGTGCAAGTAGAAGGTGGGGCGACTGGCCCTGAGCCAAGGGGGGAAGAACAGCCCCAGGGGGCTCTTGCACCCCAAGGAGGGGGAGTCAGTCTGACTACTGCGATCTACCATGCTCATGTGGTGGCTGGGCGGTTGGAGGGAGAAGAAGGCCCAGCCAGGGCAGGGGCAGACCGCCTTGTGGGAATTGTAGAAGAGGCAGTCTTACGCTCAGCAGCCAGATTGACTGAGGTTGAACTGCTGAGGGGGTTATGCTCCACTCAAATGGAGGTAACAACCTTAGTAGGGGCTTTGTTGAGGAAGGCTGGGGTTGCAAAGCTCAAGGCAGATGAGGCCAAGGCTCAACTTGTAAGGTTGAAGAAGGAGAGCGCAAACTGGGAGAGTGCCCACGTTGAGCTGCAAACGGTCAAGGTGGAGCTGGAGAACACACGCTGCCAGGTTGTATCGCTCGAGTTCCAACTGGCTGGCGAGCAGAAGAGGTTGGATGAGGCCCAAAAAGCCTGCCCGGTTGCGGTCGAACGACATGAAGAGGCGATGAGCAGTAATAAAGAGCTGGTCAGATAGAAGGATGAGGCAGACGTGAAGATTAGCGATCTGCAGAAGGAGCTGGAGGGCGAGCGTGCAAAGGCATTGGAAGAGAGGGAGAGCCTTCAGGAGGAGTTGGAGGCAGAGAGAGCCAAGGCAACTGCTGAAAGGGAGACCTTGAAGAAGGAGTTGGAGGCAGAGAAGGCCAAGACAACTGCTGAAAGGGCGTCCTTGAAGAAGGAGTGGGAGGAAGAGAGGGCTAAGGCAGCCTCTGAGACGGCGACCCTGCAGAAGGAGCTGGACGAAGAGAGGGCGAAGACAGCCTTTGAAAGGGCAGCTTACCCCGATCTGTATGTGGCAGCAATGGATCAATTCAAGAGGTCTGCTGAGTTTCAAATGGCAGTGGATGCCGCGGTCGCCAGCAGCTTGGCGAGGGAGGAGTCTGGGGGGGCGGGCCCATCGAGGACGACCGTTGGGGGCAGAACTAAAGCGGAAGTGATTGAGAGCTTCCAGCAGTCAGACTTCTATAAACACGAAATGGCTAAGTTCTGGGACAGTGGCTGAAAAATGTTCAAACGTAGGGCTGAAGAACTGTTCCCAGACTTAGACCTCAGTAGTGTAACAATTGGTGAAGATGATGTGGCCCAGACCCCCCTGGATGAGGGTATTGAAGAAGAAGACCTCGTCTCTAGTGAGGAGGAATGAGTGAAGTGAAGAAAGTTTGTACTTAAGAGAGGTTTTTTTTTTTTTTTTTTTGTTTTGAATGGCTGTAACGAACTCATGTACAAATTTCTGAATAAATAAAATTGCAATTATGTTTTCATTTGATTGTCTGTGCTTGTGCAGCTGAAATGAATGAGGCGTGGGCAAAGCGAGTGTATAACTCGTTGTGAAGTGCAAAGTGAAGTTAAACTTGTAATAAGAACTAAATTTAAGAACTCCTCAGTGTAGAGTGAAGTTGAAGTTGTAATAAAAACTCAATGCAGAGTGAAGTTAAGAACTCCTCAATGCAGAGTGAAATTGAACTTGTAATAAAGACTCGATGCAGAGTAAAGTTAAGAACTCCTCAATGCATATGCAAATTTAAAATGTAATAAAATTATAAGTTTGTGTTTGCCACACTGCTGAAGTAGATTAGTGGTTAAGGAAACAGGCTGACTTGTAAGAGTTTGATTGAGAAGAAAATAACCTGACTTGTAAAGAAAACGTGTAAGAACGTCTTTGGAATTTGACTATGCAAAGAGTGGTGTAAAGATTTGGACCTGGAATTGTGACTAAGTGTGTCTACTAATTCCACAAGCATGAAGTTTGCATAGATGGCTTTGACCGAGCCCTACACGCGTGTTTAGTTGGGGCTAAGCTATGATTCACTGACGTCGTAAGGAACTCAGTCTGAACCTGAAATTGTGGCGCTCGGTCTAGCTGAGACTTGTTATGCTTAGGCTGGCTGAGGCTTGATCTGGCCGAGTGCTTTATGCTCAGTCTGGCTGAGGCTTTATGATGCTCAGTCTGGCTGAGGCTTTTTGATGCTCAGTCTGGCTGAGGCTTTATGATGCTCAGTCTGGCTGAGGCTTTTTAATGCTCAGTCTGGCTGAGGCTTTATGATGCTCAGTCTGAACGAAGCTTTTTAATGCTCAGTCTGGCTAAGGCTTTATGATGCTCAGTCTGGCTGAGGCTTTATAATGCTCAGTCTGGCTGAGGTTTTTCATGAGTGCTGCAATCAAAACGTCATTGAGACATCATACAGATAACTGAGATATATAATTGATGGCAGGGGGAGTGTAACCCAACTAATTAAAAAGTTACATTGCGTAAGGAGATATTAAGAATGTGTAAATTTGCCGAAAAGAAAATACAATAATTGAGCGATACAAAAGTAAGAGCTTATTGAAAGTAACGTTTCAGGTGTTCGGCGTTCCATGGGTGGGGGAGGTCTCGACCTTTAATGTCCTGAAGTCGGTAGGTGCCCGGACGTGGTCGGGCTTTCACAACGTAAGGTCCCTCCCATTTGGTTGCCAGTTTACCCTCAGTCGGATTTTTGGTGGCAAGAGTTGCTTCTCTCAAGACAAGGTTCCCTACAGCGAACTCCTTTGGTTGGACTTTCCGGTTGTAGTGTATTCTCATTTTCTATTGGTATGAGGCCAGTCTGCCAGTGGTGGTCTCTCCAAGTTCTTCGATTAGGTCCAAGTCAGCCTGACGGAGCTCTTCGGTTTGTGCTGGATCCGGATGTAAAACCCTGGGAGTAGGCAGACTGACTTCTACTGGAATAACCACCTCAGCGTCGTATGTTAAGCAGAAAGGGGTTTCCCCAGTGGAAGTCCGAGCTATAGTTCGGTAAGCCCAGAGTACATTCGGTAATTCTTCAGCCCAAAGTCCCTTGGCAGCTTCGAGCTTAGTCTTGATGATCTTCAGGAGAGAACGGTTGGTGACCTCGACCTGGCCATTGGCCTGGGGATGACCGGGGGAAGAGAAACATGGTTGAATCTGGAGGTCGGCACAGAACTTCCTGTACTTGGCATTGTCAAATTGTTTGCTGTTGTCGGAGACGATGGCCTGAGGGATGCCAAATCTGCAAATGATCGACTGCCAGATGAACTTGGTTATGTTCCGCTCGGTAATGGTGGCAAGGGGTTCTGCCTCTACCCACTTGGTGAAGTAATCAATGGCGACGATCGCAAACTTGGTTTGACCTCGGCCGGTGGGAAGTGGACCGACCAAGTCGATCCCCCATTTGGCGAACGGATAAGGGCTGCAAAGTGTGATCAACTCTGTAGGAGGAGCATGAAGGATGTTGGCAAAACGTTGACACTTATCACATTTGAGCACGAAATCAATCGCATCTTGATTGAGAGTTGGCCAGAAATAACCAGTACGGAGTATTTTGTGGGCCAAAGACCTGCCGCCCGAATGATTATCACAAATTCCCTCATGGATTTCCCGCATTACATAGGTTGCTTGAGCCGAATTGAGGCATCGCAAGTATGGACGTGAAAAACCACGTTTGTACAAGACGCCACTAACCAGGATGTAATTGGACGACCGGGCCCTGACTTTGGCGGCCTGCTGTTGGTCATCTGGGAGTTCCTTCGTTGTCAAAAATAGGAAGATGTCGGAGGCCCAAGGGATAGGTTCGTTTTGGAGGAACTGCACTTCTTGTAAGTCGGGTGAGATGACCGGGTAGGCTAGGTATTCGAAGTGGACACCGTGGCTGAGGTCGGATTGGTCTGCAGAGGCCAACTGAGCCATCTCATCTGCCTTGGAGTTTTTCGCCCGAGGTATGTGCTTGATATGGAAGGTATTAAAGAGGCGAACAAAGGGGAGGGCCATATCCCTGTAAGCCCGCATTGTGTCCTCCTTGGCATCGAATTCCCTCGTAATCTGGCTGACGATGAGCTGGGAGTCGCTGAACACCCGGATGTGGCTGACTCCAATGTCCTTGGCGAGGCGGAGTCCTGCCATCAATGCCTCATATTCGGCCTCATTGTTACTGGCATTAAACAAGAAACAGAGAGCACATTTGAAATAGCCACCCTCAGGGACGATGAGAATGAGGCCAGCCCCACTACCTTTCCTGCGGGATGATCCGTCCACGTTGAGAGTCCATGAATGCGGGTCTTTTGGCTCGGTAGGGGTTGGTGGGGGTGGGGACGCAGCGGTTGGTGTAGGATTACTGAATTCCAGGATGAAATCCGCGACAGCCTGTCCCTTAATTGTTTTTCGAGGTCGGTAGGAGATGTCAAACTGACTGAGTTCCACTGACCACTGCATGAGTCGGCCGGAAAGTTCTGGTTGTTATATGGCCTTCTTCAAGGGTTGGTCAGTGAGAACCACTATGGAATGGGCTGGGAAGTAAAGACGGAGTCGTCTGGAGGCGGTGACCAAGGCCAAGGACAATTTTTCTAACAGCGGGTAATTCTGCTCTGCTCCCCTGAGAGCCCGACTGATGTAGTAGACCGACCGTTGGACAGAGTCATCTTCCCTGATAAGAGCTGCACTGACTGCGGTGCTTGAGACGGCTAAATAGAGGAAGAGGGGCTCGCCAGTAATTGCTTGTGAAAGGAGGGGGGATTTTCCATGAACTGCTTCAACTGCTGAAAAGCTTCTTCAGATTCAGTTGTTCATTCAAAAGTTTGCCGAAGAACTTTGAAGAATGGTAGGCACTTATCTGTTGTGCGGGAAATGAAGTGGTTGAGGGCCACAACTCGGCTAGTGAGCCTTTGAACCTCCTTAACCGTTCTGGGTGACTGCATCTCAATCAAGGCCTTTATCTTTTCAGGGTTAGCTTCAATGCCCCACTGACTGACCATAAAACCCAGAAACTTCCCAGATCCTACGCCGAAGGCGCACTTCTCTGGGTTGAGCTTCATTTGGTACTTGCGTAGGGTGGCGAAGGTCTCTCGCAGGTCGGACAGATGATCAATATAGAGTTTGCTCTTGACTAGCATGTCGTCGACATAGACTTCCATATTCCGACCTATTTGATGATGGAAAACGGCATTGACCAACCGTTGGTAGGTGGCCCCAGCATTCTTCAGTCCGAATGGCATCACGTGGTAGTTGTAGGTACCTCGGTCGGTAATGAAGGATGTATGTTCCCGATCGGACGGGTGCATCAGGATTTGGTTGTACCTAGAGAAAACATCCATGAAGCTGAGCATTTGATGATCGGCCGTGGCGTCGACCAGCAGATCTATGCGGGGAAGAGGATAGCTGTCTTTGGGACAAGCCCGGTTTAGGTCAGAGTAATCGACACAGAGTTGCCATTTGCCATTGTTCTTGCGGACTAGGACCACGTTTGACAACCATTTAGGGTAATCCACGTTTTTGATGAATTGGGCCACAAAGAGCTTGTCAACCTCTGCGGCTATAAGTGTATTGCGCTCTGGATGGAAGATGCGCTGCTTCTGGCGATAAGGTCGGAAATGGGGTTCGATGCTGAGGCGGTGAGTTATGAAAGAGGGGTCAATGCCTGGCATGTCTGAATGGGTCCAGGCAAATACATCATTGTGCTCGATCAGAAGGGCGGTAAGGTCGGCCTTAGCTTGGGGGGATAGTTGGCTGTCGATCTTGGCAGTCTTTATAGGGTTGGTGGGATCAATGGGAACCTCAACAAGCTCCTCCACCGGTTCTCCTCTAACCAGCTCGTCCTCATCTCCGACGTCAAGCCCTTCAATGATCATGGCCTCCTTCAGCTTGACTTCCTTGAGTGAGGCGACATAACATTCCCTGGCTACAGTCTGCTCTCCCCTTACTATCCTGACGCCCAGGTCGGTAGGGAACTTTATGGCGAGGTGGTAGGTTGAAGTGATAGCTTGGAAAGCGTTGAGGGCGGTGCGGCCAAGGATGATGTTGTAGGCAGAGGGACAGTCGACCACAAGGAAAGTGACCAACTTGGTAGTCTGCCGCGGGTATTCGCCGATGGTGAGAGGGAGATCGATGGAGCCAATGGAGGTCACCTGGTCGCTAGTGAAACCGACCAAAGGGGTTTGGATGGGAGACAGGCTTTCTTTCCCAATCTTGAGCTAGCGGAAGCAGTTGAGGAATATGATGTCTGAAGAACTACCGTTGTTGATGAGAACCCGTCTGACCTTATAGTTGGAGAGGAGGGCAGAAATGACGAGAGGGTCATTATGAGGATAACGGATGCCTGTACAGTCGGCGTCCGTGAAGGTGATGGGCTCTGTCCATTGCTTGGGCTGTTTGGAGGGTCGGTCTACTGTGGCAACTGCTCTGTCTGAGCCTTACCTTATCTTTCTGAGCTCTGCCCTCTGAGCGGAGCAGGATGGTTCGCCACAAGCAAGGCCACCTGAAATGACTCGGATTTCACCAACTGGCGGAGGGGGATTACCT